ACCAAAATCTGTTGCCACTGACACCAGTTGCACCACTTTTTTTTTTAAACACTTTCAGGATGGCGAGAGGGTGGCAAAAAGCACCTGCCTTACCCAGGCACATTTTCTGAACTCCCAATTGTGCACTATGGTGCATCCGAACTGGGATTGCAGGAAGGTTGTGGCTGTGAAAATGTCCCAACTGGATCTGAAGATGCGTTCGGACCAGTGTGTGTTGTGTTTGTGCCATTTGCTCTGGCAAATTGCAGAAGGTGGTCCACTCCATGCCACAGTCCATGATCTGCCACTTTGCTTTCCCCTTCCCGGTCCCCCCCCAAGCAAAAAACACGAGGGAGGGGAAGAGACATGAGCTTTTACCTGATTGGCTGGAAGAGAACCACACTATTCCGTTTCATAGACATTTCCCCCCTTTTCCTTCCTCATTATCTGATTGTTTTAAAGAGTGATTTGCTCCACTGCAACTTCCAATCATTCACCTACATATTTAAAAGCTGTGTTTCACAGTGGATCTTTTCTGGCAATCTAACGGTTGCATGCTTCTGTAAAGAGTGTCAGAACACGTCGAAGGAGAAATAGAGTAAAAAGGTTCTTATAATCAGAGTCTTGGAACATTTACAGATGCTGCTTTTAACCCTGACACATCAGTAAAAAACGAATCTTGAGTTCCTTTGAGCATGTGAAAAGTGCCTTTCCCTTAGCCACAATCTCAGCAGTGACATACACGACTGCAAACAAGGGGCAAAGCTTCCAGAAAGGCCTTGAGGTCTGGAACCTCTCCTTAGTAATTAACTACTGGAAAGGAAACCAGAAGGAAAGCACTCTGAGCTCGGAGGCAGCTACAACTTTGTAGAAGCCCACTGGGTTAAGGAAGCCCGACTTGGAAGGATCTGCTGGAAAATCTCCGTGGTGTCCGTATCATCAGGCAAGGCGAAAAAAGTGTCATAAAGGGTGGCGATGGGGAAAGACAGAAAGTTCTTCTGACCCACAGGACACCATCCACTGGGGAAATTCTGCAAATGCCCATTAAATGAATGGAATGAATGGAACCTATCCCAAACCACACTTCATTTTCAGAGACTGCAGAGAAACTCTCTTGCATTTGTCCCCAGAAGGTGAGCCAGACCCCAAGGCTCTTTCCTTGCAAACTGCGTTGAGATTTGAATACATTTGAGTGGTATATAAATGTTGCTATTTTGGGGGCAGGGGGTAAAATGCCATTTGGCTTTTCCACCTCAAAATGTCTTAGGCTGCATACACATCAAAAATTTAAGGCACCCCCCACCCAAGAATCCTGGGAACTGTAGCTTGTTAGGGGTGCTGGGAATTGTGGTGTGAGGGGGAACTACAGTTCCCAGAAAGCATTGTGCTTTAAATGTATGATGTGTACGCAGCCTTAGAGCACCCCTGTCCATCCTCTTCTTCCCCAGCCTTGCGCACGTAAAGGATACAAGGGAGGGTATCCATTGTTGCTGTTAACCCTTCCTCCCCCATTTGCAAGTAGCCTTTTCTTCCCTCATTGCCTTAGTGGGTGACAGCCAAATGTAGTGAAGCCCCCACCCCCATAATCTTCTAATTCCAAACAAATCCTTGTGCAAGAAAGCAATGCTTTGTTTTAATTTAGGTTTATTGGAAGAATCTCTGAGCATCAGTTCCATCTGGAAAGAAGCATCATCCTGGGGCTGATCTGAGCTGCAACCCTGCAGTGGCCGCGTAGTAAATCACCCCATGGAGCTGGCTGCAGCCAGCGCCTTTCCCCGAGACCAGAGCCAGGGCCTGACAGAAGTCGAGAGGAATTTTGAGAGGTTGTGGTTTGGGTTGGAAGGAGGAGATGTTCTGGCACCGAAACACTGACATACACACATCAAGCTAATTGCAAACACACACGCACACTCCATGCTGATCACATACACTATTATCACATGCGCTTCCCACGCTTACTGGACACTCACTAGGATGTGCCAGTAATTCCTGAGGCTCCACATCTGGTTGCATTATTGAAATAATATATGGTCTGCTTATGACACACACTTGTGTTGACAGTCAGGCTTCCTATATGCACTGGGCTGGACATTAGCATTTTGTGACATTTACCTGTAGTAGCAAGTTGCTATCTGTCTTCATGTTACACCAGGGACAGACTGCAGTCTCTCTCCCTGCCAGCACCCCATATTTCCTTGCTCCTTTTCAGGATTTAAGTCAGTTCTTTTGCAAGCTCAAGGAACCACACTGAAGCAATTGCTGAGGAACGCCTATGTGTTGTGAGCAGTCCTAGGTGCACCCCGCGTCAAGCCACAGGCCCGTTGGAACTCACACAAACTGGGAGCATGGCTAATCCTCTCCCAGGGCGGATTAGGCGCTGCAGTGAAAGACTGGTGATGGTGGGCAAGCTGTCTTCCAATGAAGCTTGCTGATCCCACCCAGGAACTTGTTGAGCTTCCAAGGTGTCCAGGAACAGTCTGAAAAGCAATGATTTAAGTCATGGCTCCAGCAAGGCCACCATTGCAAACAGCTGATGCTGGGGGCAGCAACCCCCTAGTGGTTCCTTGCTGCCTTGGGTGCAATGGAGGACACAAGCCTGTTGTCTGCCAGTCGAGTTGGCCTCTGTACTTGGGATGGGGAGAGGCACCTTCACCTTCAAGACTAATGCTCAGAGCTCATCCATACTATCATTTAATCTGGACAGTAAACTTCCTGTTCGTTCACTAATTCTCGGCTGTCCACAAGACTTTCTCCTCCAGTCGGTGCCTTTCCACCCTTTCACCTCCCTTAATCTGCATTTTCTCATACCATCTCCTTTTCAGAGTATCCATGGAGTAAGAAAATCCAGATTGAGGGAGGAGAAAATGTGAGAAGGCAGTGATTTGGAGGAGAAGGTCATATGGACAATGAAGAATTATAATCCACATTAAGCAACTGTATGGTTGAGCCCTCAGTCAGAAGAAACAACAGGGAGGGAAGACTTTGAGCCTAAACAGAGTGGCTTTTCCCTTGCCACTGAGTGACCACATGTGGGATTAGGGAATGAGATCTGAGTTAGAGGAAGCAACTTGCATGAAAGTCTGGGTTTCAGCACCTTCCATTTTGGGAACTAACTTTAGTCCTGTGTATTACTTATCTCCAGACACTTATTATGGATAGGATTTTAGGTATGGTATTTAGATTTCAAACATGGCAGAAATCCATTGTGTACATTAATCTACAAACATAGATTACGTGACATAGAATATTGTCTGGGGGTTGACAAACAAAACTGAGTCATGCCGCAGCCTAAGGTAACGCCAGCAGAAGAACTGCCATTTCGTAAAACATGTTTTCAAAGAATAAGACAAAGATTAATATATAATGGTCTCCTTTTTTTGAAAAAGTGGGTCTCATGTTGCAGGATAGGATTAAAGCTGGCACCTCACCTTGTTTCTAACACAGACAGGCACATACTCTGCCACACTGCACATCACACCTATAGCATACACAGCAACACGTGTTTATCTCGCTCAGTACACAAAAGCTGCATAGCCAAGGTCACATACAGATGTGAACATCTTCCATGACACACACACACACACACACACACACACTCATGTATAAATGAATATACCACGGGGGTAACTGCTATTCAAAATTCAGATCCAGTCTAAAATTCAGAGCTTTCTTTTTGGAGTCTGTCTGTTGCAATGGGCCGTACGTTCCTTCTTCCTTGTTCTCAGGAAAAGGTGTGTACTGGCCTCATGCAGGTTGCTCCCAGACTCCAGAGACTGACTTTGGAAAGTGGACTTCTCGGTTCCCTGTAGGGTAAGAATCTCTCATTAAAATAAATAAATAAATAAATAAAACACATATCTTTTAGGTTTTGAATGCCAATCGAATTGATTTCGTAAAATTATGATTTGTGGTTTTTGGTTTTGTTTTAAAAAAATTGCATTCATGTGTCTGTGGATTTGAATTTCTGTGCCTACCCGTGTTCTTAAAGGCATTGGTGTGTTATGGGTAAACATATGTTTAGGTTTTGTATACAGTCCCTACTTGCCCTCGTTCTACCAGAGAAGCAGCTGTGGGGACAAGGTTGGGAGGTGGTCAAAAGGTGTTGTTGGTTTACACCGAAGTCTCCCCTTCATACTACAAGAGGTGCAAGTGAGGAGGGGCAAACAGAACTTTCACCCAGGGCAGCAAAATAGATTGAGCCAGCTACGGCTGACATGTACCACACACAAAAACCCACAGAAGTCTACAAAACAAACGGACGTTGGGCCAGTGGAAAGATGCAGCTCCCCTGGATAACGTTATACCTCCATTAGCCATATGAAATGGCTTCACAAACACACTTCAGTAACAAAACAAAAGAATAAATTAACCCTGCAATATGACACCCCACTGTCATTTTGCTGGTCGTGCTTTTGCTGGGTTGGTTGCCGCTGCTATTCCAAATGACTGCAAGAGTTGCAAATCTGTCTGTACATTTTGCCTCCTAAAAGGACAGTCTGAGCTTCTTACGCCTGCCACACACATGCACATGCGCACGCCACCCTAAACAAATGTTTAGGCTGTGCACACACTCCCCTTTACTCTGCATCCAGTGCACTCCCATCTCTGGTTTGGGAAGCAGTGGACACAACACAACATGACCCACAATCCTATGTATCCCACTGTTTCTCATGGGGTACTACAGTGGTGCCCCGCAAGACAAATGCCTTGCAAGACGGAAAACTCGCTAGACGAAAGAGTTTTCCGTTTTGGAGGTGCTTCGCAAAACGAATTTCCTATGGGCTTGCTTCGCAAGACAACAATGTCTTGCGAGTTCCTCTGGTTTTTCCCCTCCCCCCCCCTTTTTCTAAGCCGCTAAGTCGCTTATCAGCTGATCCGATCAGCAGATAAGCCGCTAAAAGCCGCTAATAGCGCTAATCCGCTAATCCTTCAATGGGCTTGCTTCGCAAGACCAAAAAACCGCTAGACGAAGAGAATCACAGAACGGATTCTTTTCGTCTTGCGAGGCACCACTGTACTGTGTTTTGATGCATTCCCCCACAAACTAGCTTCAATCCGAACTGAGAGACCTAGTTGTGTGTTAAGCTGGCCATGCACACACAGCCTTTCAGTGTCCCAGCCCCTTCCATTGGCTGCACTGGGGCTCTGAAACGACCAGCAGCCCAGCTGGGGTCCCACAACTCATCCCTTGCACTCGCCTGCATCAGCCCTGATGCAGGATTTAGGCCAATAATGTTAGGTGTCTCCCCCACAACAGGTATTTGAAGAGCAACACACTGGGACACAAAGCCTTCAACATGTCATGCCTGCTTCCTCGCCGCCACCAACCCCCAAATAATCCTTGGGTAGCAGTTCACCATAAAACAAGGCACTATGCACAGAGAGTCTGGCACCACCATGGGGAAACAGGCCGACGGAAGGCTACAGCTTCCATGCTGGGCTTAGAAATCCATCTGCGATCCATCCATTTGTATGTGTGTTTCCACACTGCAGCAAATCCTTCCTGTCATGGTGTTAGGAGAGGCCCAAGCATGGCATGTTTGGGATGTGGCAGAAGAACCACAGTAAGCATGTTCCGCGGAAGGCCTAGTCTCGTGGGGTGCCGGGCCCCCTGAAACGAGGTGCCCTTCAAAAGCAGCTCATTGGCACATGGCGCCAGGCCCGCGCCATGCAGCCATGCCCCATGTAGCAAGGTCTCTGGGAGGACAGGGCCTCGTTCCACGTCACTTGCAGACGTTCACCCATTCTGTGGCAGGGCACTCCTCGCACTCCACGTGGCAGCACCAGTGGAAGCGGCAGTGGCAACGCTGGGCATGCACCTCCTGCAGCACATTGTGGCCCCGGCCGCAGCACAGGCTGCTGCAGCTGTCGGGCCGCACGCTGCCCTTGGTGCAAGGGCGGCCATGGGTGCCCGGCGAGCCCAGGCTGGGGTCAGGCTCGCAAAAGTCAGGCGAGGGTTCGTAGAAGATGAGGTGCTTGGCCAGGCGCGAGCGTTGGAGGCGGGCCGGAAGGCCCCCGAGTTGCTGTTGTGCGGCCGCAAGAGTATGGCATGGTCCATTCGCTCCCTCAGGTGAGAGCCCACACGGCGGAAATCGGGTGCTGCCAACCAGCAGGTCCGGAACTGGCAGCTCCCTGAGGGGCCGTGGCATTTACATCTTCCGCTGGCTCAGCTCTGACACAACCTGCCAAGGACGGGGTGGGAAAGGGACAAGAACGAAGCATTAGCTGCAGGAAAACGTGGGGTATTGCAGTCGCATCAACAATTCATGTTTTGCCAGACAGGGGCACCAAGGGGCTGAGGCTCACAGAGCTTTTCCTGTAAATTTCCTAGAGAGAACTCTCTGAGATCGTTTCCCTTGTGCCCTGAAAGGAAGTGTGTGTAGTTATACAACCTGCTCCCTGCCTCTTCTCCAGCATGCCAGCAATGTGAGAACATCTGCCAACAGGGGTGCCAACTTGAATTGGGGGGCAGTTAAGCCCTGCCCTGCATAATTGATCACGTGATGCGGTGCACACACACCATTTGAATGGCAATGCCCATCAACTTGGGGGGGGGCAGCCCCCTCAAATATTTTATGGGGGGGACGAAAACCCCTTGCCCCTAGTAGTTGGCTCCTATGTCTGCTAAGCTCAGACTCCATTTTTAAGTGAGACTTAAATACAACTTACGAATTACCATTTTAAGCTTACTTGAACAAAGTTGCTGTACTGTATCTGTTACTCTTCAAGAAGCATACTGAGCGAATAAATGTTATTTTTACATTTTACAAGGGTTTATGCGATGGTTAAGGGGGGGAAAGGGGTCAATACCAGGAAAATACAGTCTGTCTTAAAAGCTTAAAACTTCCCTTTAAGCTGCAAAGGGATAGCACTCTGCTGAACTCACAAACATGAGGGAGGAAGGTTCATATCTATTAAAAAATCTTCTCCAGCATCTAATCACAACAGAAAAATGGAGGAGCTTCCTGCTGCACGGAAAGAGATGGTACCAGAGACACCAACCAACTCAAATCCAGTTTGATTTCCGATTAAATCTCTGAATCACCACAACAATCTATAACTATTTCATCTAACTCGTTTTTTCTTTACTATTCTTTTTTTGGGGGGCAGCCAGTGCATAGAGGGCCGCTCTGTGTGTGCAACTTGAATGGCTGTAAAACAAGATTAGACAAATTCATGGAGGAGAGGGTTATCGATGACTACAAGCCATGATGCTATGCTTTACCTCCAGCAATGCTTCCGAATTCCTAGCTCTCCCAGCTGCCTGTGGAGACGGAGGCTGCAGAACCAGTTGCTGGAAACAGCAGGAGGGGAGAGGGCTCATGGGCTTGAATCCATGCTTGCTGGTTTCCCACAGGCAACTGAGCACAGTGAGAACAGAATGCTAGCCTAGATGCACCACTGGCCTGATCCAGTAGGCTCTTCTCATGTTCTTATGCATCTGTTTCTCTCCTGAATCACACAATTACACAACACCCTTTCAGGATGTCCTTCTGAATGTTGTGGGGTTACTGCATCTTCGGGGTACACAAAGCTCACGGTTTTCCATCGTGAATCCCTACCTTCAGGATAGGGTAAACTTTATTCTGCTGTTAGTCTTACCAATTTCGTTTTGTTAAAAATAAAACTATTCAGTCTTTATGTACAACCTCAGCACTGAAACATTATGCAAAACATTATACAATTTTGTGTGTGTGTGTGTGTAACAGACTCCCTTGGGGGTAGTGGACCAAACATCTGTTGCATTTGCCATAGCGACATAGGAATAGAGGAATGCCGCTTATTTGCACCCACAAAAAGTCAGGGTTCCAGTGGTGCCCTGCCCTTCAAGTTCTATACTGGAAGTTCACTTGGTGAGTCACCCGGACCTTTACTTCATGCCTATGCCAGGATCCTGCACACTACAGCCCCCTAGTGCCCACAAAGAGTCTTCGAGAAGAGAACAGGAACAAATCTGGGAACACTACTGCACGCTAATCCTTCCAACTCAAATTTGGTTATTTAAATACAGGAAAACAGTGGGATTCCTAGGAGAGCCCACCTGCCACAATGACATTGGGTGAGCCATTTTTGCCTGCACAGACAATCAGCTGATTGACCCATAATCATGAGCGCTGCAAACTTGCAACATGAATCCTGAGGATGCCACATACCGGATTATGTACTTGCCTGTTTACTGCTGCCAACACAAACATGTGCGTAGACCTTCAGGAATCCAGCCCCGTGGGGGACCCTTTCTCCCTGCTAATTCCAGCCCGGCCCTTTAGTTACACCAGATACTCTGGCTAGCAAAGCCCTGCCCCAGGGATGCCTCCTACCTTTCTGCCTATGCGGTGACTGTGGAGCTGCATCCGTGCGTGAGCATCGCGCGGTTTCCCTCGAGGGTCCAAGAAATGCCGAGCAAATTTCTGGGCATAGTCAAAGTCTGCACTGCAGCCCCCCCACTCCCAGGTGTCCTGGGGGCCAGGCTCCCCCCACAAGGAGGCCTTGCCGCGGCTCAGGGTCTGCAGCTGGCTGAGTTTCAGCTTCTGGTTCTCGGTGCCTTGCCTGGCGCAACCACAGCTCTGCAGCTCCCCAAGGCTACAGGCTGTGGCTACCGCATGGGTCACCCCAGCTGCCAGCAGCGAGAAGGCAAAGGCGCTTTCCCGGAAGCCTGTGGGGACACAGAGGAAGGAAGAGGGTGAGTTGGAGATGCAGGTGGAGGACAGCTCAAATAACCAAGCAAGGAAGCATTTGCAAGGAGACTGGTGGGTGGGGGACAGGGAGAGAAAGGATGCCTGGCTATATATCTAGCCCTGCACATTTCGGGCATGTGTGTGTCCAACTGTCATGTTGATTGTGGCGCCTGCCCTGTGGAACGCCCTCCCTTCAGATGTAAAGGAAATAAGCAGCTATCTTCTTTTTAAAAGACATCTGGAGGCAGCCCTGTTTAGGGAAGTTTTTAATATTTAATGCTGTATTGTTTTTAACACTTGATTGGAAGCCGCCCAGAGTGGCTGGGGAAACTCAGCCAGATGGGCGGGGTATAAATAATATATTATTATTATTGATTTATTTTTGACATTTATATACCACTGACCAACCATGTCCTCTGAGAGGTTCACAAATTTAAAATCAGTTACATGCAGATGGAAAACACAATTGATGCAAAAGCTGCACCCAGCACAAAATTAACGTAAAACCAGCATAAACCCACATGGAAGCATTTTTTTTTTAAAAAAGCACTAAAACCCCACAAGGGAAAATAGTTTTTAAATACCTAGTGTTTGGTATAGGAGGCCTGGGAGAAAGAGAAGGTCTTTATCTGGCACCGAAAAAAAGATCCTGACATAGTTGTCAGGTGAGCCTCTATGGAGAGAGCATTCCACACCCCAGGCTGCAGCACTGAAAAGCTTTTCCAGCAAAGGGACTGACTCATCTCTTGTCTCATTGTGTGACCTCTGAAATCAGGGCTGCCTGTGCTCTGCGCTACCACTACTGCCATCCCTGCCACACACACAGATCCAGGACTAAGCTAATCCAGAATTGGACCAAGACAGACAAATTCTGCATCTGGTACAAATCTAGTCAAGCATTCTGCACATAATTGCTAATTTCTCATCATTTCTTTTCCTTATTCTATTCATGGGCAGGAAAATAACAGAAACAGCTATGCAGGACACTCCTCCTTTAGCCACTAGAATTCCTGCTCAATCCCTCATTGTCTGGTTTCTGTGATTTCCTCAGGTATTTTGTTGTTGTTGTTGTTTAGTCGTTTAGTCGTGTCCGACTCTTCGTGACCCCATGGACCAGAGCACGCCAGGCACCTCTGTCCTCCACTACCTCCCGCAGTTTGGTCAAACTCATGCTGGTAACCTCGAAAACCTCAGGTATTACCCACCCAGTTTTAATCCTGCTTTCACAGTCCTGAGGGCTAGGAACTTTACTTTTTTTAAAAAAGCAAAGGGTGCTTCTGGGCTGTCATTATTTTGGGGTGGGTTTTAGTCACACCAGCAAATTCAAGTTGTGCAATTGTAGTTGATTGGGAGGTCTTGATCGGCAGAACTTCTTCTCTAGAAGACTGGACTTTTGGGGACATGGAAAGTGATGGGGGAAAGCACTGGAAAATTTGGGATAACAGCTGCTTTGATGCAACATCATCTAACCTCCCCGCAAACAAATCAGAATAAATGCTCATTAAACAGCCATTGTTGTCTAATCTGTCAGCAAACTAATGCTCAATAAACAGATCATCTGGAGGAGTCCAAAAACAGAAAGCAGAGCTTTTCAGGATTAAATTCTGTGCTTGTGCAGTGAGGTCACAGTGTATATAGAGCCATGCTTAGATCAGCTGAGAACATCATCTTAGTAATGCCATTCGTATGCCAAGTTAGAATGTCAGCAGCTACCCTTCCCTGGGCAGGATGCCAAAATCTTCCAGTATTTTCAGACCACCACAAAGGGTGTTTTTACTTGGGCTGGGCTGGGATTAAACTGATTGGGGTTGTGTGTGACCGTGATTTTAGCAACTAACTACTGTGACCATTCACAATTTTTCAGGCTAGGCAGGCGCACCTTAAAATATCTAGTAATTTTAAATTAAATAGGGTTGTGCATGATTCTAGAAGTGACATGTTTATGTCACTGTCAGGGCTTTCCCAAAGAACCCTGCAAGGACGGCAGTTTGTCCTGGCGTTGAAAGATGCCTAGCTGTCCCCTCACAGAACTACAAGTCCCAAGGTTCCCTGGGGTTATTATAAATAAGCCAATCCATAGTATAGGTTTGATCTTCTACAGTGCAATGCTAGACATGTCCACGTGGAGTTCAATGGTAAATGTGGGTTGCAGTCCTAGGGTGCTTACAGGCAGTCATAATTCTCAGGCTGGATTCAGTCATACCCCAGCAAACTAAGGCAGCACAATTAAAGCTGATTTGGAGCTTGTGTAAAACATATCCGCTTCCCCAAAATATCAGACTTTTTCCAACAAGAAAAATGACTGTGGGCGGGGGGGAGGATGCACTGGAAAGGGTGGGATTAACACTCACGTGACACAATCTCCCCACAAACAAATCAGGCTGAGGGCTCATTAAACTGGTCGTCTGGAAGCAATCTTAGATCCTGATCTGTTCAGGCTTAGCAGTATTGGTATTTTCTTAAAATCAATGCAGGTTTCTTTTGTAGTGGAGATTAGCCCTCTTCCCTCAAGTAAATTAAGCCTCTTCCTCATCATCCCATCATCCAGCCCTTCGTCTCCACTAATCCTGATTTACCTTTCCGGTTTGTTTCTTGATCAGCCAAAGCCTTTCTGTTATTGATCCTCACTTTCCTACCGTCTTCCCATCTGATGCTGCCTGAGATCCTGATGAGCCGGGCCAAACTCCCACCGCCACCCTCCATGACACATCAGGCAAAGGATCAGAGCCCAGGTGCAATGGGTTGCAGCTTGATGAAGCTCCTGCCCGCCCAGGGGCTCCCTTTGATCTTGGATTTAAATTTGGAAATGGCTCCTTCAAAGCTGAATTAGTCAAAGAGATCCAGAGGACCAAAGTAAGGAGCTCCCGGCCAACTTGCCTCTAGGGTCAGGTGTTGGCCACTACATCTGCAACCAGGGAAAGGTGCAACCAAGAAAAAGGTGCCTGCAGTAGGTTCAAGGGGAAAGAGCCAGGGGTGGTGTTCACGAAGACAGGCAGGGAGGGCAGAGCAGATAGGATCTAAGTGTATTGGCGTGTGCATGTGTGTGTGTTTGGGAAGATGCACTCAGATGTTTCCCACCACCCTGTCCCACCAACCAGGTCACTGCCTCCTCCTCCATATCAGCTGCACAGGCAGAGAGGGCAGGCATCAGTATCATCTGCTGTTTACTGTTGCCAATTGTCCGCCCGCCCCAGTGGGCAAGTGGCTAGGAGCATCAGTCAGAAAACCAGGAGGAGTTCCCTTTCCTTAGTTTTGGCTAAGGCATCTGCTACAAATCACCCCTTCACTCAGGATTAAAGGTAAAGGTACCCCTGCCCGTACGGGCCAGTCTTGACAGACTCTAGGGTTGTGCGCCCATCTCACTCAAGAGGCCGGGGGCCAGCGCTGTCCGGAGACACTTCCAGGTCACGTGGCCAGCGTGACAAGCTGCATCTGGCAAGCCAGCGCAGCACACGGAAACGCCGTTTACCTTCCCGCCAGTAAGCGGTCCCTATTTATCTACTTGCACCCGGGGGTGCTTTTGAACTGCTAGGTTGGCAGGCGCTGGGACCGAGCAACGGGAGCGCACCCCGCCGCGGGGATTCGAACCGCCGACCTTTCGATCGGCAAGCCCTAGGCACTGAGGCTTTTACCCACAGCGCCACCCGCGTCCCTTCACTCAGGATTGGCACCCAGCTATTAAGTCGTAACAATAAATGTGCCTTAGAGTTAAAAGGCAGGAAGAAAAGTGAGCAGCCAGTGGCAGAAAGGAGCCGGAATGGGCACAGCGGCAGGGCAGTGGTCAGGGGAATCGGCCGAGTGAAGCAGGGCCAACTCCCCAAGGGATGCCCAGTCCCCATCAAGAGAAGAGAGCACGCGGGCGTTCATTTACTTGGAAAATTTATAAACCTCTTGTTCAGGAAAAGTTATTCAGTGATGATGCCACCCATCTGACTGGCTTGCACCAGCCACTCAGAGCGGCTCCCAACAAAAAACAGTAAACAACAACGCCCACTAACAACTTCTCTGGACATACAAGTGGTGTACAAGCCCAATTCTATTTTTAAAACTTGGCTAAAAAGATGGTTGCTCGTCCTTCACCTCCTCCATAGTGGCGGCAGGCTTCAGGAGAAGCCATATTCAGGCTCTGAAGCCTTAGCAGCTGTCCAAAGATGCTAGTTCCTCACACCAGCCCTGAGGCAGGAACTGGCTCATCCCAGGCGGCAGGTGTGGAGATGGACAGCAAGGTAAGGAAGGACAGAACTGCAGTGGCAGCACAGCCTGCTGTGCTCCAGTCCCCTCCCCTTGAACTAGCCTATTGTCCTCAGGTCTGGGACAGGACACCATCCATTCACTGTCAGGGGCTGGAGTGAGGAGGAATGGTGGGGACTGCCCTCCCCTTCCTGCACCTTCCCGAGGAGGACAGTATAGATTTACAGCAGCGTTTGCAGAAGGTCATAGTTCAGAGGCTGCAGAGGGGAGAGGCAGGGAAATATTAGGAGAGCAGCAGGAAGAAGCAGCAGCACCAGAGGAGAGACAGCTGACAGACTCAGTGTCTTTGGAAAGCCTTCCTGACCCCCCTCTCCCAGGACCCAGCGTGCATTGAGAGTAGGAGAACAGAAAGCTCAGAGGCAGAAAGCACTGATCAGGCAATGCAGGGATGCCGTATAATAGGAGAGACGGAGGGAGTGGGACTTTACTCGGAGCAACGTCATTATCTGAGATAGATGGCATTTCTATGTTCTCTGTGAATATTGAATAAAATACTTGGTAAGAATTGTTCTTGCTTATCTGCTTCGTGGCTGCCACCGTGGGAGGGATCAGATTCCCAAAGCCTGACAGTCACTAGCGTTGAATTCAAATGCAAGCCCGGTCAGCTTCTCTGTGTGGACTTGGGGGCAGGGGGTGACATTTTGTTCTTTGCCTCAGGCAGTAACATGTTTGTGACCAGCCCTCTCACCACCACCCAGTCTGTTCTTATCCTTAAGGTGTGACCCCTGTTCTTATCCTTAAAGTGATCCCTGACCATTAGGTCCAGTCGTGGCCAACTCTGGGGTTGCGGCGCTCATCTCGCTTTATTGGCCGAGGGAGCCGGCGTACAGCTTCTGGGTCATGTGGCCAGCATGACTAAGCCGCTTCTGGCGAACCAGAGCAGCGCACGGAAACGCCTTTTACCTTCCTGCCGGAGTGGTACCTATTTATGTACTTGCACGTTGACGTGTTTTTGAACTGCTAGGTTGGCAGGAGCAGGCATCGAACCACCGACCTTCTGATCGGCAAGCCCTAGGCTCTGTGGTTTAACCCACAGCGCCACCCGCGTCCCTGGTTCTTACCCTTAAGGTACATTTATTGTTACTCCTGGCCAAAGAATTCTCTTGAGGGAGAGAGACTTCAACCACAGACAGTTTAGGGAATGGGACCTCCCTCCACTACTGATTTGTTGTTGTTTAGTCATTTAGTCATGTCTGACTCTTCGTGACCCCATGGACCATAGCACGCCAGGCACTCCCTGCCTTAATTTGGTACAGTGGTACCTTGGTTTTCGAACATAATCTGTTCCAGAAGACCGTTTGACTTCAAAACGTTCGAAAACCAAAACTCAACAGCCGACAGCTAGGCTTCAGGGCCTTGCACTCAGTGGAAGTCGTGTTTCCTGTTTGACTTCCAAGGTGCATTCGGAAACCGAAGCAGTCACTTCCAGGTTTTTGGCGTTCGGAAACCGATATGTTCGACTTCCAAGATGTTCAAAAACCGAAGTACCACTGTACTAAGAATAACAATGTCAAGCAAATCAGGTCTAAGCACCAGGAATCCCTGACTACTGGTGAACAATGGATGATGATGACATCCTGTTCTCCTGACATGATGGGTGTAGCTCAGTGTTTCCCAAACTTGACACAGCTGGAGTACTCCCTTCACCCCACAAATTTAAAACTGGAAGCACATGTCACTTTTATAGCCAGGGCACACTTGCACACCAGGACAGAACTGCTGGTGCATCGCCAGAGGAGCCAGATGCCGTGCCTTTCATGTGTCAGTGATCTGGCGCAATGCCTCCCGATTTGAAGGAGGAAAGCCCAGAGGTGACATGCAGAGCTACTGGGTGCAGCCTCCTTGATGAGCGATAAGTTCTGCTGTGAATCCTGCACCGCGCGGAATTAAACGATCCAACTGCACTCAGTGCAGAGAAGTAGCAGGATCAGTGCTTTTATTCTAGAAAAAAATGGTGCTGGTATAATAATTTTCTTCATAATAATAATTTATTATTTATACCCCACCCATCTGGCTGGATTTCCCCAGCCACTCTGGGCGGCTCCCAACAGAATTAAAAGCACAACAGAACATCAAACATTAAAACTTCCCTAAACAGGGCTGCCTTCAGATGTGTCCTAAAAGTCAGATAGTTGTTTCTTTCCTTGACATCTGATGGGAGGGCGTTCCACAGGGCGGGAGCCACTACCGAGAAGGCCACTCCCCATGAAGTTGTTACACTAAGTGCCACCCTTTCAGCCAGTGTTTTTCTCCTAGAAAAAAAGGTGCTGGTACCGCGTACCCCTGAATAACCCCAGAAAAAGAAAACAGAGCAGAATCACCATTCACAGCAGAGGCTGGTTGATGAATCACACAGGGATGCAGCAGGCAGCCTCTTCTGTGACTGGGCTCTTCTGGCTCAACCAGCCTTTTGCATCCAGTTCATTTATTTCATGTGGCATGCTAGCAATGATTTCATGGCACACTGTTTTGGAATTACCACTGTACCTCCCTGGGCCTTCTTTGGCCGTCCTTGGTCCTGTGACTTGCCAAGGGACAGCAAGACCTTCTTTGCCTTTCCCTCCATTTGTAGTGACCCTGTTTGGCTCCATTTCTGTTGTCACAAGAGGGGAAAGGGGGCACTGAGCCAGCTCCTAGAGGAAGGGCCTGTGGGGAGGTGAAGGAGGGTGCAGCAGTGATAGCAAGGCATGAATCAAGTTCTGGTTTTATTGCTTACAGACTCCAGTAGAAGAAGAGGAAAGTGTCAAATCACATCACACGGCAAGTATCCTCTCAAGCGCCTCACCTCTCTTCAGAACAGCGCTGTTGAGAAGCATGGTGCCACTGCTGCTCAAGTCCGAGCAATCCCACCGCCTCTCTTGCAGCTGATGCCGGCATTCGTGGATGGCGAGGTGGACGCCTTGCAGAGCTGAAGCCATGGCTTCTGGGCTGCGGGTGCAGAGCCCAAGTTGGCGCCGGCTCAGCCAGGGGAGGGTCATGCAGATGGTGTTGGGAGTAAGAACAGGTTCAGCCAGCACCCTTGGGCCTAGGAAGTCATGGCCCAGGATCCTGTAGGAGAACAGAGAAATTAAGCAGGAACTTGGCTTTGGGAACAAAAGAGGAGGGGAGAGAGAGAGAGAAAGGCAGAGGCTGCTTACTGCCTCACCCACAGATCATAACAGACAGGAGCGAACACAGTGGGCAGAACAGAATGCTAAACGATGGAAGCTCCATAATGGAGATTGGGTGCCCCTTAGATAAAAGTACACCCATCCATCTGGGCATGGAGTAAGCTACACAAGTCCTTGGCTAGACAAAATCAGCTACAATGGCCTAAAAAAACCGGGCAACAGCACGAGGTATCTACAAATTCTCTGGGCCTGTGTCCATCACTAGCACCAGATGCGGAAGCTGGAGCTGGAGTCAACAATGGAACTGGAGCAAAGAGACCAGAGGATTAAGGAGCTCTGAAGAGAGCTATGAACCCAGCAAAGTCCAGAGGAGACTGAAGGACTTATGTAGCCATTGTCTCTACCAGGTCCTCTGCAGGGTCATTCTCCCTCCTCCTGGGCAGATCCTTCCTTCTGAGTACAGTGTTACCTCTGGATGTGAACGGGATCTGTTCCGGAACCCCGTTCGCATCCTGAGCAGAACGCAACCCGTGTCTGCGCGTGTCGCAATTCGCCACTTCTGCGCATGACGTCATTTTGAGCGTCTGCACATGCGCGAGTGGCAACACCCGGAAGTAACCCGTTCCATTACTTCCGGGTCGCCGCAGAACGCAACCTGAAAACGCTCAACCTGAAGCGTCTTTAACCCAAGTTATGACTGTAGACCCTTTGGGTCAGAGTTGTCTGGAATCCAAACAGGCTCCTGTGGCTTCCCCATCAGCTTTGCAGCCTTCCTTTGTACCCAAGGCTTAAAGGATGGTAGGAGAGAACTGCAGAGGAAGGCAGGGCTCAGGATGGGGTCATGGAGTGGAGATGTGGGGGGGGGGGCAGGATGTGTCCAGGTGAGGCATCTCAGAGATGGGGCTCTACAGGTTGTCTTTGGATTGGTTTCTTTATGTCTTCGGTGGGAACGGGGTGCCGTGTGGGAGCCCCATCATGCCTCTTCCTCCAAGGAGGTCTCTCCAGAGTCTTGATCAGCCAGGATCTCAGTTCCATGTGTCTCTGCAGGAATGCAGGGTAGGGGAGACCTCTGAAAGAGGAGGGGCTTCTGTGCAAAATTCTGTGGACACCGCCAGAAATTTGGGGGTGCCACCATATCTGTATCTATCCCCTGAATCATACAGATCCATTCCCTTTCCACCACATTCAGATATATATATAGCTTCCAATTTAGAGCTGGGAATGAAGCTAAATTGTTCTTTTCCCCCCTTCATTGAATTATGTATGCTATTCCCCCTCCCCGCCCGCTCTCTGACCCATTGAACACCTCTTTCTTCCCAGCCAGATGCAGAAGAACCCACCTTAGCCCCTAGGACTTCAATCTTTGCGCTACAACCTCTCCATTTCATTCCATTCTCAGGTGAGGTGGGAGGGAGAGAGGGAATGACTAGGAAGCACAACTCCTACGTTTCTGCTAAACCTGACGGGTCCCACTCCTCAAGCAGAATCGGGGCCAATGCATTTCATCATACATGTGTGGAGGGTCGTGCAAAACCCTTGTGGCAGTCCAGCCCAGCTCTATTGCCTGAGGGAGAGATCAGTGCACCTGGGTGGGCGAGTATCCAGGGGGAAATTCCCTGCCTGCCCCCCCACCCCCCTCACTGGCACCAGATGAAAGCCAGGTTGAAGATCAAAAGCATCACCCTGCGGCTCAGCACCCAAAGAGGGGGTGGGGGTGGAGGGGAGGGAGGGAGGGAGATGTTCCCCTGACAGAAGCAGAGGAGCCCCTCCCAGATCTAACACAGGGTGTCTCCGTGGCAACAGAAGGAGGAGCAGGAATAACCCCGGCAGTGGCAGACACAGACATGTCGATGTGGGAAAGGGAAATGGAGCCAAGTTTCCTGATCAGAAGGGGCCACCATAGCAACCACCCAGTGGAGAGGGACACCCTCAGGTCATTTTCACGTGCAGCTCCAGCTATTGCTCCCAACTGACACAGAGAGATCAGTGGCAGTCCCTCCTATCACACACCCTCTCCCGGAAAATTACCCCAGACAAACATCCAAGCATTTTTCACAACAAGCCCCACAGGGAAGGAGTTTTCCATAAGTGGGGCACTTGTCTTAGGGCCTCTCATCACAAGAGGACCAAATCAGCCCCTAAGGGCACATGATAGATCCTTTGGGCATGCTATCATCTATCTGTCTGTCTGTCTGTCTGTCTGTCTGTCTATCTATCTATCTATCTATCTATCTATCTAATCATACTCTAAACAGAAATATGGGAGTCAAACATTATAGAACGTTCTCCCTATTCAGAATTGGGGCCAACTGATTTCGTCATCCATGTGTGCAGGGTTGTTGCCACACTAAGCCCTTGTGGCTGTCACATGCACCCAGTTTACGATGCTCAGAGGGACATTCTTTTGAACCTGTGAATCCTTCCTTCCTTCCTTCCTTCCTTCCTTCCTTCCTTCCTTCCTTCCTCCCTCCATACCAACAAGAACCACTACTGCAGCTTAGATACCAACTCGGTAATCCTGTGCATGTTTACTCAGAGGTAAGTTCCACTTGACAGTATCCTAAGCGAAGTGGGCAAGGGACTGCAACCTGGAGGAAAGGCCCCTTAAACAACAGCAGAATTTACTTAAGAGTAAATGTGCATAGGATTGTGCTGGGCTGCTGCAATAATGTGCATAGGTACTTGGGAATAAGCCTTGTTAAATTTGGTGGGATTTACATCAGAGTAAACATGCTTAGAGTTGTACTGTGCCTGGCTGATTGTGGCCTGGGGCGATCCTCACTGATTCACAGATAAGAGCCTACATCTCCAAAACATCTCTCAGGGTCACTTTGCATCAGGAATGAGGAAGCTGTGGCCTTCCAGATGCTGTTGGACTCCAGCTCCCATCAGCCTCAGCCTGCATGGCCAATGGTTGGGGGTGATGGGAGCTGGAGTCCAGCAACAGCTGAAAGGACCCAGCTTCCCCGCCCTGGTTTTACATATTGCCTGTAGTGGCATGGTAGCTGCCTCTGCTGTGGCTGTTCCCAAGCCACTCTGGGAACGCATAAAGCTTCCACCCATGTTACACAACATGCCAATGACACACCACCCAAAAAGGCAGGCGTTGCTGGCATGTTATGTCAACGTACACTTTATGTCTATATGCTGCTGTGTCAGGGCGAGCACAGCCCTCAGTCCGCATACACATCTGATAAAGCAAGGCTACAAAAATGCAAACCGCGATGAATCAGTTTCCAAAGGGCTGCGATACCATCTCCTTTTGTGAACATGAAGCGTCCTCAAAGCATCTGAGCATAAGAACATAAGAGCAGCCCCGCTGGATCCAGGCCAAAGGCCTCTCTAGTCCAGCACTCTGTTCCCACGCAGTTCACCCAGACACCTCTGAGAAGATTACAAGCAGCAGAACATGGTCCTCTCCCGCTTCGGTTCCCCAGCATGCCTCTGAGCCCAGAGGTAATAGAGCCATCAGGACTCAGAGGCATTAAGAGCCTTATCTTCCATGAATCTCTCTAATCCTCTTTCAAAGTTGCAAACCACTTTGAAATTCCCCCCTCTTAAAAATATAAACAATATAGAAATATTGTTGCTATTATTATTATTGCCATCCAAATTGGTGGTCATCACTACCTCATGTGGTCAAGATGCGGATAGCCCATTAGCACTACCCCCACAGAGGAAAAAACTCTCATTCCACGCACAGGTGTCCACTCGTTCAGCTACTGTCCAGCTGAGACCCTCCAGCACATATTAGCATAAGCCTGTACTTAGCCCCTTGCTTGGTCATCTACAATGAGTAGAGAAATGCCTGCAGGTAATGACTCTCTCACACCCCACCTAGTCATAGGGAATGTTTGAGTCTTGGAGGTTTGGAAGAGACCCGTGCCACCTCTGACGCACAGGCCACACTGCCTAACACTCCTTGTCTCTCCTCTGGCTCCTGAGTTGTAAGCCCTCAATCTGCAAGAGAAAAAGAACCGAGCCTGCGCTCTGAACAGATGAAGCTGCCTCACATCTAACCATATCATTGACCCACATAACCCAGTTCTGTTTACTCTGATGGGCAGCAGCTCTCTAGGGCAGGGATGGGGAAGATGTGACCCTCCATATGCTATTGAATTACCCCTCCCCTCATTCCGTGACCACCAGCTGGAGCTGAGGTGAGTTGGCATCCAAAAACATCTGGAGATCCACAGTTCCCCCATCCCTGTCCAAAGGTTTCGTGAAAGGGGTCTTTGTGAATTCTGCTGTCTCAAAGTCCTGGAGATGCTAGGGTCTGAGCCGGGGAGGGACCCCGTGCCTGCAATGTCACGTGTCTCATAATTGAAGTATGTTGCCTCCCTTAGCTCAACCTCAGGTATGGGCAACGTGTGGCCCTCCCCATGTTGCTGGACTACAACTCCTATCATCCCTGATCAAAGGCCATGCTGGCTGGAGCTGAAAGTCCAAAAATATCAATAGGGCCACACGTTCCTCACCTCTGGTCTAGCTTGGGCAATGCTGCTATGGCATCTATTTTAACCAACTTAATACCTAAGTTGGTCTTAAATCTAGTGAAAGCTAGCATTAACTTGCATATAAAAACACATGGCACACAATTCTTGCTGTGGATTAATCTGGAGTAACTACCACTCTTGGTCCCATACACAGAGCTAGTTTGCATGTAATACTGAGCCAAACCATGTCTTAGTGTGAATATGCAGGCATGCAAGCTCTGTTTGTAGTTTGGCTTAGCATTACCTGCGGAACCAGCTCATAATCACAAACAATCCAGGCAGACCATCATTAACTCATCCTGAGCTACTGGTCTTCAGCTGGTGGGCTGTGCCATGATCCCAGCTGGGGCACAACAGGAGCACTATCCTCACACAAGTAGATGGCATATAAGAAATGGGTCCCCAAATGCATGTTTGGGTTAAAACGCGGCCCTGGATCCAAAAAGAGTGAAGAGACATGTCCTCAGCGATAATCAGAAATGTGTTCCAGGAGTTCCGCCTACATCTTCCCTCAGCTTTAACCCTCTAAACTCACTGCTTTCGTGGAAAATCCAGGCATCACATTTTAAAAATCCAGTGGGAAAGCAGGGACAGAGGAAGCTGACTGGGGAGAGGCTACAGCTGTACAGTTTGTCCTTGGCATATTGCTTGCTGCGCACTGATGTAGTAATGAAGAAGCAAGCACGATGCCAACTGGGCAGATAAATGCCCTTCCACACCAGGGACCCTCATTAGCCCCACATAACCACACCAGTGCCATTCTCCTGGCTGTTCAGCATCCCCACCAGGACAGGGGCAGTAATTTCTGGGACAGCTCCATTCCCCCCACCACAGCACCGCACCTCAGTGAATCACTTACCCTCTCCAAAGGCAGAGGTAGGCAGCAAAGAGAGAAGTGGCCACACAGGGGCTCATTGGAGCCATGCCAAGCTCTGACCGGGCTGCTCTCTAGTTTGGCTGGAGGTCACCCTCTCCCTCATGGCCCTCCCAAGCGGGGCAGAAGGAGGAAGGTTCTGGAATAAGAGACAGTCAGTAAGTGGGGTGGGCAGGGGGGAAGCGAGCCAGTAACCCTTTCCCAACATCCTCCTGACTCCTGATTCCCTTGGAGGAATTTCCCCAGCCCCTGACTCCTTCGCCTACCCCAAAATATGAGCCGAATCATGGCCTCCCCGTAGTTTAAAGCATTTTTTAAATGGCAACAGCTAAAGGGATGAATACAAAAAGTAAAGAGGCTGCCATGTGAGCACAGCTCCTGAGAGAAGCTCCCTCAATTTGTTCGCCTCTGCCATCTCCATCCCACCCACTGCAATCAAGTTTCAAGGGCTATGCTGGGTATGAACTTGTGAGGAGGAAGAGCGACCTGTGGGTATAGGGCGGTATATAAATTCAATTAGTAATAGTAATAATAGTAATAGTAATAATAATAATAGCAGCACAGGTCAGAAAGGGCAGAGAAGCTCAAGCTTCAGCAATTACTTTCCTCCCACAAATTCCTTCCTGCAGCTGGAAAGGCAACCCAGTTCAAAACACACACACACACATTTACAACGGGGCACTGACCAAGGATTGCCAAAAGCCCCCTTGCCCCCTCCAGCGTGAAAGAGCGGCAGAAATCCAATGCTCCATTATGGAGACAGAGCACTATCAGTTGAATTTCTGCCTGTCTGGCCGTAATGAAAGATACAGGTGAAGGCAAGGATGGTAAGGCTACGTTGAACCTAGCGGCATGGCTTCAGACACAGTGACCCCAGAGCCCCAGCTTATGCGGGAACAGCTCACAGTCCCCCTCCCGAAGCAGACCTGCCTTCACGCAACCGAGGAGTCCGCGCTCCCAAGTGAAGAGGCTGGTTTTCTAGCGCAGCGCCTGCCCCAAGCTTACCTTGGCAGCCCGGAATCCCCTCCCCTCTCGCCCCTCGGCTGCTCTCGCTCATCTACCTGCCCCTTCTCCCTCTCCCTCTCTCCGCGGCCGCTAGAGAGCCTCGCCTGGGCGAGGTTTTCCCCTCCCCATCCGGGGGCAGCTGGAGCCGGGAAGCAGCTGTTCAGTTCGGGTGCGGTTCCAGTGCCCACACCCACGGGCGTGAACGCCAGCCCGACGTGGGTCCCACGGGCAGCGCGCGGCGCCTCTCTTCTCCCCAGGCGCAAAGCGCCGACCCCACCTTCTCCCGCAGCTCCTCGCGTGACCAGGAGACGACGACCCGCCCGCACCCCCGCCGCCCGCCGTCCACCGGAGAGAACCCAGGCGTCCTGGCGCCCCAAACCCCGATCCCGTCTCCCCTGAGCGATTGGATCCCAACCACTGGATCCCAGCCTCTCCCTGCTTTCAAGCCTCTACAGGTTGCCTTCCCGCAGATTGATAGAGAGGATTAGAGCAGAGGAAAGTTTCTGTTCGGTTCCTTTGATTCCCTCTCCTTCCTTCGCCCCCCGCCCGCCCTTCTGTCTTGTTCCTCCTCTAACCTCGCTCGCCGGCCTTTTTTCTCCCTCCGTCCGGACCATCCGCTCGGGCGCTTCTGCAGCCGGCTGCCAGGGTTCATGTCTCCACTCCCCTTTTCCTAGCAGGCTCCGCTGCCGTCCCTCCTGCCTCGGGCGTCCCAGCCCCACACGCTCGCGTGGGTCGGCCTCGCTCCCCCCCCCTTTTCCTGGGGGCGGGTGGGAAACCGCGCGGCAGGAAAGAGAGATCCAAAGGCCATCTAGTCCAGCACACACACGCGCGCGCGCACACACACACACACACCGCACGCGGGGAGCGCGCACAGCCCCAAGGCAGAACGACGCACCCGCCCCTCCAAAATAATAATAATAATAATAATAATAATAATAATAATAATAATAATAATAAATTTTATTTATATCCCGCCCTCCCCTGCCGAAGCTGGGCTCAGGGCGGCTAACAACATTCTAAAACATTCATTATAAAATTAATCAAATCAAACTAGCCCCTGCGCATTACGGAGAGAGCAGGTGCACCTCCCCAAAAACAGGAGCCGGGCGCGTTCGGGACTCTAGCCAGTCTTCAAAGATAAGCCCCGGCACGGTTGCAGCATTGCAGCAATAAAACTGCTAGCCTCTGTGCAAAGCTAAGCAGGGTCCGGTATGGTTTCAAATTGGATGGGACACCGTGTCTTGAGATAGGTAGTTGGTTGGACTACTAGATGACCCTAGGGATCCCTTCCAACGCTACGATTCCGTAATTTTGTGGTTTAGGATTCTGCAATTCCCCCTTCCTAAACACAGGGAGGCCCTTCAGAAATTGCCGGACTGCAACTCCCACCATCCCTCACCATTGCCAATGTTGGCTGGGGCTGATGGGAATTGGAGTCCCAACGCTATGAAGCGGGGGGCGGCTCCGTCTCGAGAGCCTAATGCCCCACAACTGAATGGGTACCCCTTTCTTAAATGCTGCATGCACGACACTTAACTGCAACCCCGTTATATTCTTGGGAGAATTTTACCTATGGTTCCTCCCAATTAGCCCCATGGGAGAAGAGACAGCATCGATTGGCCTGGAGAAATTTGATTGTTGGCCAAGCATTTAAACCTTTATCTTCGCTCCCCCAATACTGTACTGATTTCCGGGTATAGAGTTGTTGCAAGGTCGTTCATCAACCCGGGCGCTCCTTCTCACATTCAATTGCATTGCTGCACGAAGAACTGAGACGTGTTCGGAGCGCGGGGGGGGGGGGAGCCCCTCTTTAGCGCGTTGTGCCGGGTGGCGCATGGACTCCGAGCAGACGGAAGCTCTGCTGAGCCAGTCGGTAGCGCAAGTGAGACGGTCCGCCACGCAGCGAGCGAGCGCCCCAAAGGCGGATAATAGCAGCCCGATGCGATGCAGACATTGCGAACCTAACTCTAAATAAGATCGGGCTGCACGTCGGGTGCGCTGCCTTGCAGAGAGCAAGCATGCACGGCTTGCGCTTCAATTGCACGGCGCACTTGGACAGGATGCCTGTGTTGCATGACTTTCCTTGGCTCGCTTAGGCTCCCTTCGAATTATTGCACGGGCAGGCCGCTCGCAAAGCTGGAAGGGGCGCAGGCAATCGCTAGTGGGGAGGAAAAGGCGGCGATCTCCTCTCCCACCCTTCCCTCCAGGCACAAATCAGCCCTGCACAGACCAACTCCCACCTATAGGACTTCGCGCACAATCCAGCCTCCGCGTTGCAGTGTTAGGTTATGGGGCCTACAGAGCGCGCAAACCGGGCTGGCTGCGCAAGCCAGCAGGCGCCCTAAGTAAGAGGAGCATTATGCACAGCGGGGTTTGGGGTGTGTGTGTGAGGCTACAGAGCCCCACCACCAGCTGGACTCGTGTTCTCCGAGCCCTGCAGCCTGGCGGGGTTGCTGCTTGCTTCCATCACAGGACCCTCCCAAGTTTCCAGTCCGCTGGATGCCCGCCGCTTCCTTCCCGCCCTGGCGCGCGGCTCCGCGATACTGCCAGGGAAGCCGCCCCGCGAGCCCGACTCGCGTGCAAGAGAGGGACTTTCCAGGGTGGGGTCGCCTGATCCGCAGGCTCGGTGGGCTTTGCCTGCGCCCGTTCCCCGGGACCTTCCCGGACTGCAGCAGGGGCGGCGCGCGAGGCGCTGGGATGCAATTGCACAGCTCGCAGCGGTTCCTTCCTCGCGTCCGCCCTGCTTTCTCCCCGCCCGTTTATCTTGGCTGCAGGGGACGATTATGTATGAGTCAGTCGGAGGGGAAGGTGAGGCGCTGAGGGTGGGATTGAGCGGCGGACGGGCTATCCCTCTCCCCGGGGGTGGGTAACCACCAGGCTTCGGGCGCCAGGCCTAGTCTCGGGTTCTATTTCCGTCTCTGGGAGGAAGAGGACTGAGGTCTGGAGGGTTAGAAGTTGAACAGGAGGCTGGGAACGAGCCAACACGTTCTCGGCTCTTGCCTTGCCCTGGGAGAGATGCACTGGGGTTCAGAAAGGAAGGCCAGGACTCGCCCAGAGAACCTGTGTCGGGATCTGGGGGGTGGAAGGACAAGAGAAGGGCCTGGGACATGAGAAGAGTGCTGTTGAGAATGTGCAGAGGGCATTCTCTCGCCACCAAGGATTTGCCACAACAAAAAGCCATTTGCATGTCCACTGCCCCCACCCCCAAACTTGGCTGGTTGTCACACGATGTTGTGATGGCCATTAAATGGTTTGATGGGTGGACATTGGAGCCAGATAGGTCTATCAGGGGCTCCAAATAATGACATTATATGGAGCATCCATGTTCAGAGGGAGTATACCACTGAATAACAGCCGCTACCTTGATGTGCTACCCATGGGGCTACTCGGAGACATCTCGCTGGCCACTGTGGGAAAGGATGCTGGACTAGGGCTTGTCCATATGACCTATTATTGAGCTTTCACCCTGAGTTGCTTGCACAATACTTATTGTGGAGGCTTGATTAGAACCTGTCTTTACTGAACGTTTGTTCTGGTTTGTTTGTGGGACAGTTATATGGCAAGGAGCATTTGTCCTGTTTCATCCTGATTTCCATGTGCACTGTTTATATGTCATTTATTCATTCCACATTATTCAGTGTATTTTCCATTCATTTTCCTAACCTCTCAATTTTTTAATTTTTTTATTTTAGAAAAACAAAAGGCGACAGAGCCTTTTAATCTATTTTAATGGCACAAAGCTAACTTTCCCAGTAGGTCAGGGGTCAGCAAACTTTTTCAGCAGGGGGCCGGTCCACTGTCCCTCAGACCTTGTGGGGGGCCGGACTATATTTTGGAGGCGGGCAAATGAACAAATTCCTATGCCCCACAAATAACCCAGAGATGCATTTTAAATAAAAGCACACATTCTACTCATGTAAAAACACGCTGATTCCCAGATCATCCACGGGCCGGATTTAGAAGGCGATTGGGCCAGATCCGGCCCCTGGGCCTTAGTTTGCCTACCCATGCAGTAGGTCCTTGAATCCTTCCTGCAAAATACAGTCTGGAAGCGCCAGAGGTTGATCTGATCCCACAGTGTATATATATTGTTTGATTATTTCTGTAGCACCATCAGTCCACATGACATTTTAATGCAATGTACCCTCACAGAGAAATTCATCCAAATTTCATTCAGTTTCTCCTGTTCTGGAAAAGTGTCTCTCCTGCCAGAAACAGGGCAAAAAACAAGTGTGGCAATCTTAACAGCCATCACTTATCTGATGTTTGGGATAAGGGTGTGTACTTTCCAGAGAAACGTAGCCTGGCCATCTCGTTTTTGCAGTTTAAAGCACTGTTGAGGGTGCTGGAACATCAACTACCGACCTTGAGACAGATGTACTGGGTTCTGGAGAGAGAGAGAGCAGAAGATTTCTGCTTCATAGGCACACCTTGGTTACATTCTGTGCCAATGAATCTGAAATGACTACCAGGCTGCAGCAAAAACAGCAAAAGTGTTTTGTTTTTTATTGGGTGCTTTCATGGGGCAGAGTCCACTTCGTCATGCAAGCTTAGGCTGAGAAACATTTGTTGCTCTTTAAGGCGCCATCCGACTCCTCTGCTGCTTCAGATTAACATGGTTACCCCTCTGGAATTTGTCCGCATGTTGTGGTTTGAATAGATCTGTGCAGTGTTCAGCCTGCACTAGAGCTCTGTTGTTACTGTTGGTGGATAGATAAGAGGCTCAGGCATCAGGAGCTGCTCTCCCTTCCTCCCATTGGACAGACTTAGCAACCAGCCACAATGGTGGTGTTCTACCTCCACGGTTGGAAGGCGGCATGATGAGTGGCACTTGCTGGGAATCACAGGTGGGGAGTGTGGGGTGTGAAACACAGAGCAGTCAAATACAACATTCCTAGAGTGGACATGTTTAGACATAAAGAGGGATGTTTGTCCAGCCAGTAGATAAACTTCCTGTTTCCTCCTGTGCTGGGACAAACTTTCTCTACATGTGACCAGAGGTGGGCATGACCTCACCTGTGCAGGTAACAAAAGCAGAGGACTGGCCACCACATCTCTCTCGTTTCCAT